TGGGCATATATAGCAGCACACTTTAAGCATATATAGCTGCACACTTTGAGCATATATAAAGCAACGCACTTTGAGCATAAAGCAGCACACTTTAAGCATATATAGCAGCACACTTTGAGCATATATAGCAGCACACTTTGAGCATATATAGCAGCACACTTTGGGCATATATAGCAGCACACTTTGGGCATATATAGCTGCACACTTTGGGCATATATAGCTGCACACTTTGGGCATATATAGCAGCACACTTTAAGCATATATAGCAGCACACTTTGAGCATATATAGCAGCACACTTTGAGCAAATATAGCTGCACACTTTGTGCATTTAGGTGTGTCGAGTCGCTGAAGGGTCAACTGACAAGTGAGACATTTCTACGTCAGTGCCCGACTTTCCCGTGGGGTCGTTACACAGCACACACTGGTCAAATAACGGCATACTTTAGGTACAAATAGCGACAAGCTCTTGGGAAATGGCACACCATGGGCATATAGCGGCACACTTTAGGCATATGACGACACACTCTGGGCATCAGCTGCGCACTCTGGGCAAATAACGGCACACTCTGGGCAAACAACGGCACACTCTAGGGCATATAGCGGCACATTGTGGTCATAAAGCGGCTTATTAAGGGCATATAGGGGCAAACCGGACATATAACGACGCACTCTGGCCATATAGCGACACACAATGGGCATATAGTGGCAAACCCTGTCATATAGCAGCATAGTCTGTGCATATAGCGGCATAGTCTAGGCATATAGCGGCATAGTCTGGTCATATGGCGGCATAGTCTGGGCATATAGCGGCATAGTCTGGTCATATGGCGGCATAGTCTGGGCATATAGCGGCATAGTCTGGGCATATGGCGGCATAGTCTGGGCATATAGCGGCATAGTCTGGGCATATAGCGGCATAGTCTGGTCATATGGCGGCATAGTCTGGGCATATAGCGGCATAGTCTGGGCAGATAGCGGCATAGTCTGGGCATATAGCGGCATAGTCTGGGCATATGGCGGCATAGTCGGGGCATATGGCGGCATAGTCTGGTCATATGGCGGCATAGTCTGGGCAGATAGCGGCATAGTCTGGGCATATAGCGGCATAGTCTGGGCATATAGCGGCATAGTCTGGGCATATAGCGGCGTAGTCTGGGCATATAGCGGCGTAGTCTGGGCATATAGCGGCGTAGTCTGGGCATATAGCGGCTTAGGGTGAAAAACTGACCAGATAGTTTCTAGAAAAACGGACACAAAGGAGGACAAACACAAAGACTAGTTGGGGAGGGGTGAGGGGGTAGTCAATAATGTAAAAATAACAGTAAAAGGAATAGTAGTGTGCTAAATGATTAAAAAAAATATAGCGTTTTAAATTCTATATGAAAGTAAATATATTTAAGCAAGGCTTTTTGCTATTAAAAAAAAAGGTGCCGGTACTCACAATCAAGTGTCTTTAAAAAGGTGCTAGTAGTACTCATTACAAAGTGTCCATTGTGGTAGGGCTGGAGGGAAAAATGATCATCAAGAAGAAAAGGTCCTTCTTCTTCTTCATGTTCACCAGTTGTAAACTCCAGCGGATGGTTACAATTGTTCGTCCGCTTCTGGACTTTAGTCCTATTCTAGAACTTGAGTTTTGCGTGCGCATCCTTTTTAAAGATCTGGCTTATTTGCAGACTGTTGTCTCCACATCTTTCAGACAGATGTCGACTCTGAAGAAAGCAACCCTCATTAGTCACTTTCTACAGCACGCTTGTTGGGGAAGGGGTTCAGTGGGACTGTACCACCTCCCTCCTCTGACCCAAATCTCCTAAAGGGACCTAAATCCCCATATGCGGATAATATTAAAAACATGACCCACTGCAATAAACGTATGAATGAAGAAACATGCTAATGAGTAAGGGAAGTTCAACCCCACCAGGACCACACAATGAGTGATAAACATCCGGTGACACAAAGTGCCACTATTCCGATGCAAGTCCTAGAAGCCCCATTCAACCGTTAGATTATATTAGGGCCGAAGTGGGGCTTTAAAATGAAAAAATTAAAATTGCGTATCCCATTGGGGTGAGGTTAGCTATGAATATACTAATTATAACTCTAGAGAGCTGCAGGAAAGGACTAAACAGTACATCACAGGAACAAAACATTTGTATACGAGGTATTCAAATATCCCAAAGCCAAACAATGAAACCCCATATCGCATCAAATATCTTAAAGATAAATTACACAATATGATTTTCACAATTGTTTAACAAATAAACTTATAAAAAGCATTAAATTAAACAGTTTATACTCTTCAAATATGTTAGTCAATCAGAACTTATTTTTTTTTTTATTTGATGGTACGCAGTACCAGTATACCAGCAACCTTTTCAGGCCTAATTCTTTGTTCAGCACTACCAAAAAAACCTAATACGTAGGCTAATCAATGCAGTATAAAATAACAAAAAGTAATTGACAGGCTTTAACATCCAATACTGACAAATAAAAAAACCTTTTATATCCGATTGATATCCCAGAAGAGTTGAGATATTGATTAAATTATTACTACTGTTGTATGCCAATATTATCTCTGTACATTATAAGTAACTGCTGCCTGTGTTTATTCTCTCTGAATAGTGCTAGTAAACATTTTTGGGTACATTTTTCTGGTTAACATTTGTTTGTTTTTTATTTTTTGTTATTTTTTGTAAATGATTATTTTTTGGAGATTTTTACCCACTGGTAATGTTTTTTTTTTTTTAAAAAGAATTTTGACACCAGAAAACAGTAGCTGCATATTGGTGTGAGATATGGCCGCTGTGACATCCAAAGGACAGTCAGTGAACAAGGCAAGCAGTGTCCTTGACAGCCAGTTCAGGCAGTGGAAACGTCCAGATTTGGCCAGCAAATGTACTTTTCGTGTGGACATCCCACTGGAGCAGTCTCCCCACAGACATGTCAAAAGGTAGGAGTTATTCTTCAGCCTTCCACATCACCATCTTCTTAGAATTTATTGGCTGTAAACTTTGGTTTATTCCTCCACTTCTTGTTCCATACTTCAGAGTTGCCTGTCTACTCGTTTTACAGATCTGGCTTATTTGTGTGCAGACTTTTGATTCCTCGTCTCATAGATAGATGTGATCCATCTTTAAAGAAAACCTTGATCCTATATACGCTATAGGGCTATTGAGCTGTTTACTCAGAGACCAGAAAATTGAAAATGTAGATTGTCACTGGATAGAAGCCCAAACCCCAGCATGGAGAGATCATCAATACAGTTCAACTGGCAGAGAACTGTCGTCTACTCGCTAGGCCTCTACAGGCCACCAGTTGAACAGCCCTGCTTTATACATTTGCCAGGCACACAGGTAGGAAACCTGTGTCTAAGTAAGAAGATGGGTAGATGGATAGAAACCTGTATCTAGGGAGGTGGATAGGTAGAAAACTGTATCTAGGTAGGTGGATAGGTAGAAAACTGTATCTAGGTAGGTAGGTAGGTAGAAACCTGTATCTAGGTAGGTAGGTAGGTAGAAACCTGTATCTAGGGAGGTGGATAGGTAGACAATTATCTAGATAGGTAGATAGGTAGAAACTTGTGTCTAGGTAGGTAGACAGGTAGAAACCTGTATCTAGGTAGATAGATAGGTAGATATGTAGAAACCTGTATCTAGGGAGGTAGATAGGTAGAAACCTGTATCAAGGTAGGTAGGCAGAGGTAGATATGTAGAAACCTGTATCTAGGGATTTCAGTGGGTCCTGACCAGTATGAGCCCTGGTGCCGGTGCACCCCCACATGTGGTTGCCCACCTCTGAATCCCATCCAAACCATCATTTTGCTGTTGTGGTCATCATCATTGTCATTTGAGTTGATTTGACTGAAGCACTGACAGTTGAGGAAATCCATGAATTCTTTCTACAGCTGAGGGGAGTTGAGTGGTCTCGAGGCATGGCATCCGCCTCAAGTGCCTGAGGTACCGAGTTCAGGCCCTGGTGAACGTTGGGATTTTTTCACATGGACTTTTAGTAACTTCCCCTGGTCTCTGGAGAGTATGATCAGATGCCTGTGTATATTGTTGCGCATGTAAAAAATCCCTTGGCAGTGAGAATCAAAAAGAGTAGCCTAACAGCACTGCTCAGGCAAAATTTGGAGTTGAAAATCTACCCATAGTATTTCAGGATCCTCCGCTGGTGCTACGGAGTTTGTGCACTGCGCTGAGATTCTTCTGAGTAGAACGGAGCACTTATGGGTTACTAACCTTGTGCCATGATGTTGGTCCATTGTTTGAACCTAAAACCTTAATCCTTTGTACAGCTGAGATAAATGGTTCATTGTATACAGTAACAAACTAAATGCATGACTTTACCTTAACTTCTTCACGCTCACCTTCTGTAAACTCCTGCGGAAAGTTCTGATTGTTCATCCCCCTCTGGACATTAGTCTTGTTCCAGAACATGAGTGTTGCATGCACATCCGTTTGACAGATGTGGCTTATTTATATGCAGACCCTTGGTTCCTTGCCTCTCCGGCAGATGCTTTCAAACTTAGAAGAAGGCCCCAGTAAGTCAACTCCTACAACATGCTTGTTGGGGAGACAGTGGGTCTTTTCTTGTTTTCCCCACAATGAGCCCCAGAACCCACATGGGAAACATTACCAAAACAAAATTTTAAATTAAATAAACACATTATTCGACATTACCCTAATCTTAAATTGTTAACTGATTACTGTAGATGAGATTACCGAAATCACAAAATGCTAACTGAATGCCTTAGTGTAGTTTAACGTGTTCTGAAAATGTTATTAAATACTTTAGGGAAGTTTGACAAGATTTAAAAATGTTAACTAAATATTTTAGTAGAGTTTAACATGGTCTGAAAATGTTAACTAAACACTTTAAGGGTGGTTAATATGATCTGAAAATGTTAGCTGAATACTTCTGATCAAATTAGGATAATGTGATCATGTATGTATCATGTGTTTAATTACTGAATAAACATTTGATGTTCACTCTCCAACAGAGAGCCACAGCCCAAGATTCTACCCAACATTCTCTACCATATTGGAGACACCCCATTGGTCAGAATCAACCATATTACAAAGAAAGAGGGCATTGAATGTGAAATGTGTATGTTTGTTTGTGTAAATATTAGTCTATTTTATATAAATGAGTAATAATAAAATTATGCCAGAGAGAAGCCAGTACAGAGATTTATGTTAAATTAATTAACTTTAGGAATATACATTAAACCCCCCTAGCAGTAGAGCAGAAACTCTCTCTACCAGCAGGTGACATCTGTACTAACTTCAGAGCTGAGGTATCTGCCCTCCTTTCTGCAGTCCAAAATCTCATCACTCAAGAACACAGAGTTCACCAAATTGTTATACTTAGTGACTTACTGTCTGTTCTCCAAGCACTATCAAGCAAAAAACAAGACAAACTAATTGCAGATCTAAGGACCAACATTGGCTTACTTTCCAAGGAAGCAGAACTGGTCTTGCAGTGGATACCAGCCCACTGTGGTATTCAAGGAAATGAGAGAGCAGATGAGTTGACAAAAGCTGGGAGTAATCTTCCACAACCTCATCCACCACACAACTACAAGGAAACCAAAACAGCGCTAAAGCAGTCTTCCAAGTGGGAGTGGAGAAGGCAGAATGTGACAGCATAAACAAACTCAACAGGAAAGAACAAACATCAATTTTTAGACTTCGGATTGGACACTGTGGTCTTTGAGCACACCTGTACAAGATAGGCATAAAAGATTCTGCTGCATGTGATTGTGGAGCAGAAAGACAGACCCCTGAGCACATACTGCAGTACTGCCCTAACTTCTCCCAGCAAAGACTGTGGATCTGGCCCAAGTGAGCTACATTGCAAGAGAAGCTATGGGGGACCAGTGGCAACTTAAACGCACAATCCTATTTGTGACAGCGGCGTCCTTGGCTAAGGCGTTGCGAGTCCGACACGTAAGCCAGCATACCACGATCGAAACCCACTGCAGGCTGCGTGGATTTTTGTCGTGGTATGGGACATCGCAGGTCGACCTAGCCTAAAATGGGTACCAGGATGGGCTGTCCTGGGAAAGTAAAGACAGCCGGCGTAATGCTGACCACATTACCCACAGAGTGCTGATGGTCTGTAAAAATATGGGACGCTCTGCCCATATGCCTGATGCGCCGAAAGGCGTGAAAAGGGAACTTTACTTTACTTTACCTATTTGTGATCCAGACGGGACTCAATGTTTAGAAATGACTGATGTCGAACCCAGAAGAAGAAGAAGAGGAAGAAATGAATTATAATAAAAACATGACAGACACACGGTTGTTGTGAGAATAAATTTATGAGACATATTAAAATCATGACGGACACAAAGCTGTAAAAGACCCTTCTCCATACCTTCACGCATACATGCTTGACCTCTATTTTATAGACCAGTCATCACTCTGTGGGTTATGTGGTCAGCCTCATGCCAGCCACCTTTACTTCCTAGGACTTTGCCCGCTACCCATTAAATGCTGGGAGCCAAGGTCATTGTTGAAAAAAAGTCTCATCTGGAACTGAACCCCATGACCTTCGGACCCGCAGACAAGTGTCTAGCTTACAAACTATGATGGCTCCCACACAAAACTGTAAGGAGACTAATTGTTATAATTGAGCGATATAATCAAATCATGACAGTCACAAAGCTATACTGAAACTATGTGTTATAAATGAGAGGGATAATAAAATTGTGTCAGACACATGGCCCTGGGGTGACTATAAGCTATCATTGGGAAATATAATACAACTATGGCAGTCACAGGGCTGTTGGGAAGACTATATGCTTTTGTTATGAGATATAAAACTACTATGGCAGTCACGAGGCTCTTGGGGAGACTATATTCTATTATTGGGAGATATAATAAAACTATGGCAGTCACAGAGCTGTTGGGGAGACTATATGCTATTGTTGGGATATATTACAACTATGGCAGACACAATACTGTTGGGGAGACTATATGCTATTATTGGGAAATACAACTATGGTAGACACAAGGCTGTTGGGGAGACTAAATTGTATAATTTTGAGATATAATAAAATCATGTCAGACATAAGTTGGGGGGAGACTAAATGATTAACACCACACAGCACAGGCAATAATAAGAAAAAAATCATGAAGACAACTTGTTAGTTTTTATTTCTGTAAAATTTTATTGGTTAGTATGTCTTTTGGTTTTATCGCTTTAGAGCAGTGGTTCTTAACACTTTCTAATGCTGCGACTCTTTCTTACAATTCCTTATGTTGTGGTGACCCTTTCATACAGTTTCTCATGTTGTGACGACCCTTTCATACAGTTTCTCATGTTGTGGTGACCCTTTCATACAGTTTCTCATGTTGTGGTGACCCTTTCATACAGTTTCTCCTGTTGTGGTAACCCTTTCATACAGTTTCTCCTGTTGTGACGACCCTTTCATACAGTTTCTCCTGTTGTGGTGACCCTTTCATACAGTTTCTCCTGTTGTGGTGACCCTTTCATACAGTTTCTCCTGTTGTGGTGACCCTTTCATACAGTTTCTCCTGTTGTGGTGACCCTTTCATACAGTTTCTCCTGTTGTGGTGACCCTTTCATACAGTTTCTCATGTTGTGACGACCCTTTCATACAGTTTCTCATGTGGTGGTGACCCTTTCATACAGTTTCTCATGTTGTGGTGACCCTTTCATACAGTTTCTCATGTTGTGGTGACCCTTTCATACAGTTTCTCATGTTGTGGTGACCCTTTCATACAGTTTCTCATGTTGTGGTGACCCTTTCATACAGTTTCTCATGTTGTGGTGACCCTTTCATACAGTTTCTCATGTTGTGATGACCCCCAAAAATACAATTATTTTCGTTACTACATAAACTCAATGAATATGTGCTTTCCTATGGTCGTGACCCACAGGTTGAGAACCACTGTTTTAGAGTTTCAGTGGCTGAATTTGGTTTTATAGGAAATTATGAGAACATCATGAGAAGATTTTAAAAATCATAATGATGATGTCTTGAAAAAAATTAACTTACAGACAAATCTGAGTATCTGTATATGAAGAAGACAATCTAGTCTTTGTTCACGTCATGAGAAGGGGGAAAACTGGAGTACATCATGTCAGTTATAAAACTGGAGAGGAAGAGAGGCAGAGGAAGACCATGAGAAAAGATGGTGGCTAGTTTGGTATCGTGGCATGGAAGAAAATCTGTTTCAGACATAACTGACAGCCCATGAGACAGAAGGTTGTGGCTAGCTGTGATTACTGGTACTGCATAGCATGGACTATAAGAAGACAATCATTTATGGTATCACGGTAATGTAATGGGCTTTTTTCATGGTAAAAGATCAAATCTTAACCTGCACAGTCTGTGGCTACTGCACTGGCTGTGCGGACCTAAATCCTCAGGCTTAAAGACTTCTGCCTATACCATAAAACTGCAGATTCAAGCATAATGGCAGCTTGACAGCGGCAGTATGTCTGCATGACCATCATCATCATCAACAGTTTCCACTTCTACCATTGAGCGTTGTGGGAGGAACAGTTTGCAATCTATTTCTTGATGGGCAGCAGTGGCCATTGTCATTCCATGTCATTGTAGAAGCTCTTTAATGTCAACAATCCATATTTTTCTAGGACAGTGTCTTGCTTTCACTTCAGATTTTTCAGTGTGTAACACCTTGCCTTGCTAGTTGATCTGGCTGCATTCTTACTAAATGACCTGTTTTTCAATGACTTTGCTGCATTGAATGACCGTAGTTGACCATATTTGTTATAAACTGTGTGTCTTCATTACACCTCTGTAGGATCACAACAGCCTCTTTTTTTATGTTGTGTAGTTTAATGATGTAGGTCCACTCTAACAGCAGTAAAAAAACACTATGCAGATGATGCGTAGAACTTAGATGTTTGTGTAAATTAAAAATCTTATCTAATTTCACCATAATTCGCTTGGACCTTGGAGTCTCAAGGTGAAGTATAAAAAAGCGGGAGAGTACCTGTTTGTGCATAGGGGTTTCCAAGAAACTCTGTTATTCCTGCAGTCCATTGTTTCCATAGTCAGCCTCTCTTTCAATTCCTACTTTGTAAATCATTAGTGGTTTACTGTGTGTTGGCAGCCAAGTTCAGTTAAAATCTAGTGATGGTACCACACTGACTTTTTATTATTGTTTTTGCTTTGTTATATCTATTGTTAATCTTGTATTCAGTTTTGCTGGTTGATGCTATTATGCTTCCTTCTTTCATGAAATTCTTCACTTGTTTCAAAGGATGTTCTGAAAGCTGGATATATTTTCTTTGATTGTTGTAAATGTACACCTATTCATCACTTAATAGATATATAACTTTTCTTTCTTTTGGTTTCATTGTTAGTGGCTAAATGTGAGTTCTACAATGCTGCTGGCTCAGTCAAGGACAGGATTGGCTATCGAATGGTGGAAGATGCTGAGGTTGCAGGAGAGATAAAACCTGGAGATGTGCTTATTGAGCCAACATCAGGAAATACAGGTATTAATCCACAGCAACATTTTCATAATTTAAAAAGTGGACCTGTAAAGGATCCTTATTCATTTGTGCATTTGGCATATGGTGCTATACCCATGTTTTCTTCTTCTGCATTTACCCTTAAAACTGCAGTTCCAGGAAAATTTCTGCCACCCATTTTAGGCTGGGTCAACCTGGAAAACCAGATCAGTTATTAAATCTGCCCCAAAACTGATTCAAACCTAAGACCTTTAGGACAAATGTCTAGCCTCTACACTACTGTGCCTCAATTCAAGAATAGTTTGTGTCTAATCAGGACTTCCCAAACTGTTAAAACTGTTTCCTTTTGTGGCTCGATTTAATGTGAAGAAATATTTCATTACACCCATACCACACCTTAGTTTTATTACCTTCTTCTTCTTTTTCTTAGCGTTCACTAGCTGTGAACTCTGGTGGAAAGTTCTGGTTAGTTTACTTCTGGACTTTGGTCTTGCTTCAAAATTTGAGTTTTGCATGCTCATCTGTTTTACAGATCTGGCTTACTTATATGCAGACTGTAGATTCCTCCCCTCTCAGATGCAGTTCGACTTTGAAGGAAGCACCCTTAATTAATCACTTTTTTATGACATGCCTGTTAGATGGGGCAATGCTCCCCCCCCCCCCCATCCTCTATGGGGCTCTTTTATTATTAAACCAATAGACACTGAATAACTAATGAACTAACTGTAATCTAATCACTACACAGAAATGATTTAAAGACACATGCAAGAAAGGTAATCCTAGAACTGAAATCAGTCAAACAAATAATTTAAAAAAAACAAAAAAACAGTTTTGGGTCATCTCATAAGATTTTACTGAAAGAAACTACTGCAAAGTCCGCATTATAGTAATATAATTCTCAGTATAGGTTCCAGGGCCCCAATTTAGGAAAAAATAATAAACACACTGCCAGCTAAGAAGCATGTCATACACAAGGTGACTAATTAGGTTTTTTTTTTTTTTTAAGTCAGTGGGCATCTAAATGAGAGGTGAGGAACCAACAGTCTGCATACAAATACACAGTATTATAAAACAGACATACATACAAAATTCCAGAAGTGGATGAGCAACAAGAACTTTCCACCAGTTAACAGCCCGTGAGTGTGAAGAGGAAATATAATGAGAACAGAGCAAGGAGAAGACCATGCAAATTATGCATCGATAACATCAAGAACAGCCTTAGAGAAATCAAGACCAACTTACACATGGTATTAGAAAGAGAACATAAAAGATACTTAATCTTTCTCCAGTATTGACATACAGAAGTGGAGGAAGATGGAAATACTGGGCACATGCTGAGAAGCAGCAGGTTGAGATTTGAAGAAAAAAAAGGAAAATACTGAAACGGGAAACAGATCGACTGAGCAGGCATTGACATCCAAGAGAATTAACAAGAGAGGGCAGAAGTGTTGGATTAGACACTACACATGTTGCCAAACAAATTTCACAAGATACAGTGGAATGTAAGAATGGATGCTAGCCCAGTGTGATGCACAACAGAAAAATGATGAACTTTTTGTGAAAAGCAAATGATTTTGTTAATGACTATTATTCGATGTTCCTTAATATTTTTATGTTCTGACATGACTCTATAAACCTAAATGATTCTGTGTATCTACATGGTCTAGCTTCCTAATGATTCTGTGTTCCTACATGATTCTGTGTTCCTACATGATCCTGTGTTCCTACATGATTCTCTGTTCCTAAATGATTCTGTGTTCCTACATGATTCTCTGTTCCTACATGATTCTGTGTTCCTACATGATTCTCTGTTCCTACATGATTCTGTGTTCCTACATGATTCTCTGTTCCTACATGATTCTGTGTTCCTACATGATTCTCTGTTCCTACATGATTCTGTGTTCCTACATGATTCTGTGTTCCTACATGATTCTGTGATCCTACATGATTCTGTGTTCCTACATGATTCTGTGATCCTACAGGATTCTGTGATCCTACATGATTCTGTGATCCTACATGATTCTGTGTTCCTACATGATTCTGTGATCCTACATGATTCTGTGTTCCTACAGGTATTGGTCTCGCTCTGGCAGCAGCTGTTAAAGGTTACAAGTGTATCATTGTCATGCCTGAGAAAATGAGCATGGAGAAGGTAACATTACATCTGTTTAGCTGACTTGAAGTAGATGGAAGATCATATTAGACAGACTGTGTCAAGATGTAGATACAGGATCACATAGACTGTTACAGCTTGTAAATATAAGGCATCACATTGGCTGTTACAGACTGTAGATTTACAGTCACATAGACTGTACAGTCTGTATATTTAGGAACAACACAGGCAGATTGTTACAGACGGTAGATTTGGGACCAAACTCAACTGACTATTACAGACTGTAGTTACAGGATATCGGACAGACTTATAGGCTTTAGATACATGATCACATTGACTATTACATACAGGCTGTAGATTTAGGATCACACCAAACAGATTATTACAGATTGTAAATATAGAACATCAGACAGACAATTACAGGTTGTAGATATAGGACATTAGACTATTACAGGTTGTAGATATAGGACATTAGACTATTACAGGCTGTAGATATAAGACATTAGACTATTACAGGCTGTAGATATAAGACATTAGACTATTACAGGCTGTAGATATAGGACATTACACTATTACAGGCTGTAGATATAAGACATTAGACTATTACAGGCTGTAGATATAAGACATTAGACTATTACAGGCTGTAGATATAAGACATTAGACTATTACAGGTTGTAGATATAGGACATTACACTATTACAGGCTGTAGATATAAGACATTAGACTATTACAGGCTGTAGATATAAGACATTAGACTATTACAGGTTGTAGATATAGGACATTACACTATTACAGGCTGTAGATATAAGACATTAGACTATTACAGGCTGTAGATATAGGACTTCAGGCAGACTAATACAGGTTGTGGATTTTGGACATCAGACTATTACAGTTTGTAATTATAAGACATCAGACAGACTATTACAGTTTGTTGTTACAGGACATGAGACTATTACAGGTTGTTGATATAGGATATCAGACTTTTACAGGTTGTAGATATAGGATATCAGAATATTACAGGTTGTAGATATATGATATCAAACTATTACAGGTTGTAGATGTAGACATCAGACTATTACAGGCTGTAGATATAGGACATCAGACAGACTATTACAGTTTGTAGTTACATAATACTATTACAGGTTGTGGATATAGGATATCAGAATATTACAGTTTGTAAATGTAGACATAATACAGACTATTACAGTTTGTAGTTATAGGACATCAGACTATTACAGGTTGTAGATATAGGATATCAGACTTTTACAGGTTGTAGATATAGGATATCAGACTTTTACAGGTTGTAGATATAGGACATCAGACTATTACAGGTTGTAGATATAGGATATCAGACTTTTACAGGTTGTAGATATAGGACATCAGACTATTACAGGTTGTAGATATAGGACATCAGACTATTACAGGTTGTAGATATAGGGCATCAGACAGACTATTACAGTTTGTAGTTACAGGACATCAGACTATCACATGTTGTAGATATAGGATATAAGACTATTAACAGGCTATAGATTTATCAGACTATTACATCAGGCTGTAGATATAGGACATCAGACTATTACAGATTGTAGATATAGGACATCAGACTATTACAGATTGTAGATATAGGACATCAGACTATTACAGATTGTAGATATAGGACATCAGACAAACTATTACACTTTGTAGATATAGGACATCAGACTATTACAGATTGTAGATATAGGACATCAGACAAACTATTACAATTTGTAGATATAGGACATCAGACTATTACAGATTGTAGATATAGGACATCAGACTATTTTAGGTTGTTGATATAGGACATCAGACAGACTATTACAGGTTGTAGATATAGGACATCAGACAGGCCATTAAAGGTTGTAGATATAGGACATCAGACTATTACAGGTTGTTATAGGACATCAGACAGACTATTACAGGTTATAGATATAGGACATCAGACAGGCTATTAAAGGTTGTAGATATAGGACATCAGACAGACTATTAAAGGTTGTAGATATAGGACATCAGACAGGCTATTACAGGTTGTAGATAGAGGTCATCAGGCTATTACAGGTTGTATATATAAGACATCATACTATTGCAGGTTTTAGATATAGGACATCAGACAGACTATTACAGATTGTAGATATAGGACATCAGACAGACTATTGCAGATTGTAGATATAGGACATCAGGCTATTACAGCTTGTAGATGCAAGAACACATCAAGCAGACTGATATGGGACATGGATGTATAAAGTATAGAGCCACATCGGACAGATTTTTACAGGAAGTATCTTAGCAGGGTAGGGCTGTAGGATATCTTTGGGCAAGGAGTGCATGTTTAGTTCTTCTGCCAGGATAGAGCAATGGAATAACCTTGGGCAAGAGGAAGCTCCTGTCTGGTGCCTCTTATCCGGGTGGCACGACACCTCAGGAGCAGATGGCCACTGCCAAGATGGAAACCATTGGCAAACTACTTTTTTGAGAGATACCTTGATGGCTTGACCATAAGCAATGGGAGGGATGAGAACACTTTGTGGATCTGATGATTGTATGAGATGGTCATATTTAAGCATGTGAAAAATGTGCAGCTGTATATGGTAGCCAAATATTTCTGGCAGTAAACAGACACTCTAATTATTAGAGGTGTCTCTGATATAATTTTTCAATTTAAGCTATTAAACTGTAGTGGTTATTTCTGTGTTTAACTTGAGTTTTTGTCACAATAATTTATAAATTTTCAACAAGACATGTGTTTTACTTATTGTGTATTCGGTAAAGTATAAATACTTCAGTACAGTTTAACACTGAATTAAATAATTTGGCAACTGATTGTTGGTGGTCTGTAAGCAAATAGTGATGCTAAAGTTCAGCTCAGGAATAAAAAAGCAAAAAATAAATAACTAACACAAGGGCTTCATACGTCCTAAACATGGGCCTACCTATGCTTACTGGATAGTACGTGATAATGACTGTATCATATTCAACGTAATGCGACTCTTCAGTGTTGGAGTTAGTAATTTTTTGCCTTTAACCTTTGACACTAACTAAGCTGTTCATATTCATAAGCCCTATGGCCTCAAGGTAAGGGAATGCTTTTTCCAATCCTTGATGTATAAGGTTTGATTTCCATGGCAAAGGGATCAGAAAAATATCATTCTCCTAGCTTTCAGACAGTTGCATGAGAGTTGCACCATGGAAGAGATGGGGTTACATCAACTAATATTCCCAAAAAGAGCAGTAAGTGCATGTATTTACTGAAGCCAACTTTCATTGTTGAGATAGTACAAATATTTGTTTGTTCTCTGTTGATAGGTTGACGTGTTGCGAGCCCTTGGAGCTGATATCGTTCGTACACCAACCAGTGCAGCATTTGATTCTCCAGAGTCACATATTGGGGTTGCTCGCCGACTCATGGAGGAGATTCCCAACTCTCACATTCTAGACCAGGTTTTGCTTTCTCTTGATTTGTGTGGTATGCAAACTGAATTTGTCAGAGCAAAAGAAATGAGAAAGTCACATGTAGTTGTTTTTGTTTCCTCATTTCTATCTTCAGTGGTAGGGCTGAATTGTACCTTTACATCTTCAGAGTGTATCCTAGGCATCTGAATTTGTGAAAACTGAGAATTGAGCAAACTATTTGAATACAAATAACAGTTATTTAGTGAAACTGTTGGCACTGCATTGATATTTTATTTTTGCTTATCTATTAATATTGAGCCTTGGTAGTGTAGCAGCTAGATAGTACCTGCAAGTGCCAGAGTCTTGGGTTCAAATTCACACTAGGAGGATGTGTGGGGAAAAAACAAAATACTATTGACCTTGATTGGCAGAAGGACCCAGCCTAAATTAGCTACCAGAAAATGTGCTGGGAAGTAGAATTAGCCACATGATGATGATCCATCATCCATTAGGTGCCCACTGGTCTATAAAATGTGGGACTAGCATCATATACCCAATGCACCACTGGCATGAAAACGTTTTTTTTTTTTTACTTATTATTAACTCTTTCTGGACAAATCGCCAGTTATTCGGCAGCTGAATCCATCACTTTAGACATATCACCGATATAAATCAATTCTCTGTATGTTGAATTTTGTATAAGATATCTACATCACAGCACTCGGGACACTCACGTTAGTGCTTTGTCCCTATCTTCAGCAGCAAACAAAGAGTTTCAATTCTGATGGTACCCCTAACTTTTTAATTGTACAATCATCTTACCTTTCCCTTGAGTGTTAACGTCGGCTAGATTGCCTGGTAATTCCCCACAGCGCTATACTCCTCAGACGGTAATGATCTGTTTGTGCCTCCTCACTGTTCACTCATTCCCAAAGGGCCCTCGCAACATCTAACTACATCAGTTCATCCCCAAGTGGTGCAGAACCGGCCAGTCATGCTGCCTGCTCATTTCCCAACACACTATCGTTACCTGGAGAAAATATTAAAAGGTTGCTAAACTACCCAGGACCTCTGAAGCGATGCTTACCACTCTGCCAGTTCTCAAAATAGACTCTCTAATGTTGTGTTTTGAAAAACTAGCAAAATTAAGTATTTTGTTTTAAGCATGGCCTAGTGAGAGGCTTCATTTTAAATTTCTTAACAATTATATCATTGTGATATAATTTTTGTGGATTTTACTAAAATGGCAACTTTCAACCTTTCAGCATCACTGAATGTGGTGTCATTTTAATATTTTTTGCTGTGGTGCTGATCCTCAAAAAGTTTAGATGTATTCTGCAATTTTTTCTCTTTGTGAGTCGCCGTGGCTAGATGCATGCCGCAGATTGGAAGATCGTGGGTTCGCTCCCTGGCGGAGCCGGACTTTTCTTCAAAAATGACTTCGTCTCCCAGGTCGACACAGCTTTGAGTGGGTACCGGATGGAGTCCCGGGAAGTAGAGGCGGCCAGCGTGATGCTGACCACATCACCCATCTTGTGCCGATTGGTCTATAAAAATATAGGTCTAGCCCTATATGCCCTATATAATTTTTCTTCATAAATGTTTTAGCTTTGTCATGTTACAGTGAAAAAAATTCAGCTCAAAATTAATTCTGTCCAAACCCCGGGAAAATGCTGACCTCAAAAAGTTAATTAACATAATTTGTATTGTCAGCCATTTTTCCTGCCTGTTACTACAATAACTACATTTAATCTGTTTTCTTCTTTATGTTTCAGTATCGTAATCCCAGCAATCCTATTGCACATTTTGATGGAACAGCCGAAGAAATTCTTGAGGCCTGTGATGGTATGATTTCATGCTATTGAAAAGTTTTCTGTTGATATTGTCAGAAAAAGGGGAAACAGTTATTATCTGATTATATCTGGATTTTAAGACCAAAAAAGTGGAACAGGATATCATTGGTTAAATTACTACTACTGCTGGTCTGAAATATGATCAGCAATCAAGAGCTCAATGGTTGATGTCTGTGGGAGGTGCTTTGTACAGCACTTGGTGATGATAATTCTTATCTCTTAGAGACGGGATGATTGGAAGAGGTTGTGGGCAGTGCATCCACATGGTTGCTAAGAGTAAAGATTGGAACCGCCAAAAACAAAGGGGACACCAGACATATAAGAAGTCTTGACAATCGATAGAAAACTGATGTTATATGCTGAATTCCCAGTGTGGGTTTCGGGGCCCTGTTATAGGAAAAACAAGAATTTTCTTAGACCCCCTGCCTACCCAAAAGCATATCATAAGAGTTGACTAATTAGGAGCTTCCTTTAGAGTCGGAGTGCATCTGCCTGAGAGGCAAGGAACCAACAGTCTGCATACAAATTAATCAGATCTGTCAAATGGATGCAAATGCAACACTCAAGTTCTGGAACAGGACTGCAGTCCAGAAGTGGACGAACAACCAGAACTTTCCTCCAGATTTTACAGCTGGTGAACGCGAAGAAGAAGAGGAAGTTATGCTGAGTAATGTATCTGAGATCTTATAGACATGTCTGTAAAGTCATGAGAATAAACTAACTCTTGACTCGTGCCTTTTTACTATTTGTCATCCGCAGGCAAAATCGACATGGTGGTCGTTGCTGCTGGTACTGGAGGCACAATAACCGGCATTTCTCGCAAAATTAAAATGAAATGTCCCGACTGTAAGGTAAAATCTCAATTCTGTTAGATACAAGGATTCCTCATTGTTGGATCCAAGGGTTCCTCATTGTTAGATACAAGGGTTCCTCATTGTTGGATACAAGGGTTCCTCATTGTTGGATACAAGGGTTCCTCATTGTTGGATACAAGGGTTCCTCATTGTTGGATACAAGGGTTCCTCATTGTTGGATACAAGGGTTCCTCTTTGTTGGATACAAGGGTTCCTCATTGTTGGATACAAGGGTTCCTCATTGTTGGATACAAGGGTTCCTCATTGTTAGATACAAGGGTTCCTCATTGTTGGATACAAGGGTTCTTCATTGTTGGATACAAGGGTTCCTCATTGTTGGATACAAGAGGTTCCTCATTGTTGGATACAAGGGTTCCTCATTGTTAGATACAAGGGTTCCTCATTGCCTGATAGGTGGGTTTTCCATTGTCAGATAGATGGGTTCCACCTATTTTCAGATATATAAAGTCGCCATTGTCAGAGAAATGTATGACACAAAGTGCCACTATTTGGATGAGGATCAGCCAGGCACAAGTCCCACAAACACTGTTCAACCATTAAGTTATATTAGGGCCCCCGACTAAAGCCTGGATGGGGCTTTCAAATAACGAAAAACTGAGTCCCACTCTGAGACGGTCAGGGAAATGGGTTCACTATTGTCAGATATATAGGTTCCTTATTTTTAGATAAATTCCCAATTCTTGAATAGAATCTTCCCCATTGTCATACAGATGGATTCACTGATGTCAGTTTTATGTGTTTCTCTGTATCAGATATATGGGTTCCCAATTGTCAGTATATGGTTTCTCCTGCGTAAGATTTATGGGTTTCCCTGTGTCAGATAGATATTCCCTAAATGTTAAATTAAGAATCGACATCACAGCACTCGGGACACTCCCATAAGTTCTCTGTCTCCATCTTCAACAGCAAGCAATGAGTTCCATTTCCGATGGCACCTGTAACCGTTTGATTATATATCCATCTCGTCCTTTCCCTGAATGTTGAGCATCGGCCAAATCCCCTGGTAACTCCTCACAGCACCATTTTTCTCAGACCGTAATGATCTATCTGTGCCTCCACACTGTTCACTCATTCCCAAAGGGCCCTCACAATATCTAGCTTGTTATACATCATTTCACCACCAAGTAGTGCAGAGCCAGCCAGCCAATCACCTGCTCATTTCCCATAAGATCGCCATGACCTGGAGAAAATATCCACAGGATGCTAACTACCCTGTGTTCCCTGTGTCAGATAAATGGGTTCCCTGATCAGATAGGTGTTCCCTGTGTCACATAGGTGTTCCCTGTGTCACATAGGTGTTCCCTGTGCCACATAGGTGTTCCCTGTGCCACATAGGTGTTCCCTGTGTCACATTTTATTGGAGTGGACCTTTATTTAATACAGATTATTGGAGTGGACCCTGAGGGATCAATTTTAGCAATACCAGAGAGCTTGAATAAAAGTGAAGTATCCTTCTATGAAGTCGAGGGAATTGGGTACGACTTTGTTCCTACAGTACTGTCAAGGGAGGTAAGTCAAGTTGTTTCTTGTCAGTGCCATGGGAGTTAATGTGACAAAAGTGGAATGTGGCATTTTTTTAAAATTTGCAGTCACAAAAGATAGGGATTTGAAAAACCTTTTAAGGGCTAAAAAGAGCATGGGATGGAAAATTATTCCTCCCCATGACGCTTAATGGCAGAAGTGGTTTATGATGACGATGGTGAAATACAGCTAATACTGATAAACTGAAGAGAATTGTGGACAGTGAAACTAAAGTCCGAAGGTGGATGAACACCCAGAACTTTTCACCAGAGTTTTCAGCTGGTAAATGCGAACAAGTAGAATTATATATATAATAAACAAACAATGTATTGATTGTAATTCATAGAAAGTATCATGAAACAGGGAGTGGGTAGATGCTTTTGTGATGGGTAGGAATTTTTCTCTCAACACATCCCCTTCACCAGATCAATTGAACTAAAATCTGAGCTATGTTGATCTCACACAATCCTGAAAAACCAAGAAAACAGCCATATTGGCTTGTTAAGTACTTTAACAGTAGCTGCACTTGGTAACCACAGGAGAAGGAAAGGGGTTTTGGATGTCTATCATAAATTTAATGAATTATTAGACAGGACAGGTGACCCCTCCTGACTACCTCCTCCTAGTAAAGAATTATTATTATCAGTGAGCTCCCACCAAATGCTATTCTATCTTAACAGTTTAGTTAAACATGTAAGAACAGACACATTCTGAATGTCAAAAACTGATGCAGGATAAGACCATACAGCTGATTTATTAACCTAGCAATCATTTATAAGTTTTTAAACAATAATGGTATGGTAGTAATAAGATGCTTCAGCTAGAGAACTGAACACCTAAGATTCAAGTGAAGTTATAATGGTGGTGATAAGTTTACGAACATAAATACAGCATGTAACTTTTGAATGTATAAAGTGGAACCTCAGAGAGCCCTCGTGTTGAGGCCCTTCTTAGCTTTTCCTAGCTGTTCCAGCTTTTCCACCTCTTCCAGCTTCTTGTTCACAGGTTCCTGCCTCGTTCTCCACCTCCTGCCTTGTTCCCAGCTTGTGGATCTCCTACACACTGTAGGTTCATACATGTGGACCCTCTGTTTCTGTTATCAGAAATGACAGGTCCTTACCCTGATGGGAGGTGGGAACATTCCAGCAATTTGCCAAACAAGACTCAAACAGCTGGAATTACTTTCTACTGTTAATCTGAGTTTGTGGCCTGCTGACAGTACTATACAATAAAGTCTAGCCTAGCAGTAATAATATGTACCCTTATCTCTCTGCAAAGTTAAACTCCTTCCCTTTTCTAGTTTCTAACCTACCCTACAAGAGAGGATCTAAGTCCCGCCCTTGAGGTACCTTGCAGATCAAATTAGCCAATAATGTGCCTGTCAGTAACTTTTGACTTCCCCTACTAAGATCAAACATTCTTAAGAGGTAAACATCTGGTTTACAGCCAATGTCACTGACAGGTGTGAAACGCCGGTCCAGGGGACACTGTTATGTCTGGAGTTGTCTACCAGACCAAGTTAATTCCCCTGATCTGGTCTGTTTAAAGGGCCCTAGTCAGCTGGTTATGTAGCATTTTATGACACTAGGGTCTTTGGCCTGCAGTCCAAGGAAGATAATCTTAATTGGGATAATTAGTTTTATTACCAATTGCCTGCTCCGAAGGGTCTCTGGTCTGGAGATAATTATATGACACTCCTACTGGCTTGTAGAACAACTCATTAGATAAAGTAATGTTAGGTAATCTTAAACCAAGCTTGGTTGCTTTGTCTGACTAAGACTGGAAACAATTTTAACAATTTTAAATCCCATGGGATGTTTTTGGTACTATTTAGGCTTAGTGCATAGTAAACATAATTATTTGTCTCTCTATGAACATAAGAAATTATTAAACATAATATAACTTCTGAGGCCACTGAGGTCCATTTCATCACAGAAAGATAGAAGGACACACTAGACAATATAAAAATCAAAAACTGTCGTTACTGCACCAGTAATCTGACCTTTCACCTCCAAATGGCAAGTGTGCCTTGCTATTGAAACAAGTGTACTAAGAACATGACCAACTAGGCATCCAACAGTTTATTTATGTGAAGAAGAAGGTTTTTGGGCCCCATTTTGGTGGGGGGGGGGGGGGGGGGGGGGAGGAAGAAAATAGACTCATTGCCTCCTTAACTAGCCTGTATTATCACTTGATGGCTGAACCATTTCATTCTTTGTCAGTCAGCGTTATTTAGACATGGTCTTATTCCATCTTTCTCTATAATGCTGGTATTTGTAACCCTATCTCTTCTTGTATTGTTAGTGACCTTATATAGACAGCACATTTTGCAGCAGTTATTTTCAGTCACTATATACAATCAATAAATCACACATGTCAGTTCATTACACAACAACAACATTTCTTGTTACAAATTTGAGGCTTGATAAACCTAGAAGCTAAAAAAAAAAATCAATCTCAGCCTCATTATGGATGCAAACACACGATGAGCAGCAGGTCAGCATGCATGACAACACTGTCATGACTCTTCAATCAATCAGTGAATGAAATAGAAGTCAACTTTTGTTTTATTTCTCTGACAGCATGTGGACAAATGGTACAAGAGTGCTGACAAGCCATCGTTCATCATGTCGCGGAGACTGATACGAGAGGAAGGATTACTCTGTGGTAATTGTGCTTTAGGCTTGTAAATTACATATATATCGAGGTCAGTTTTGTCTCATTTAATTGAAAAATCAAGTCTAGTTTCTACTCTGGTTAATGATCCACTGAACTGTAACCAAGAATAATCTCCCTTTCATTGTTGTGGTTTTATTGATAAAGGCTGCTACCAAAATGTCTGATTATTCCTGTGTATGAATTGTTTCCCCTTCTCACCATCATAAGCTTTTCAGTCATAATTGAGTGGATTATTTTCTTGATATCAGCTTGACTGCAATCAACCCTATCTTTTTCTTTTCATCGCTTTTGGATTTCCTTCTGTTATCTTAGTGACATATTGTAAAGGAAGGGAAGAGGTGAAATATAGAAATATTTTCTGTGTCTCTCTAATGCATTGTGTTAATTGATATTCATTTGTCAAAAGTTGTTGTTCATCTTAGTGCAGTGAACAGTGCACTGTGGAGAAAGACTAAAGTTCTAAAGTGTAAAACATGGTGGAGTGAATTTAACCCTTGATCTATAAACTTAAATTTAACTGGCAGTCACTCAAAAGTGAATGTTAGCTGTTAATCAATCACAAGTGACTGTTAGTCAGCCAGTCACAAATGAGTATTCACAGAGTGTTAGATGTTAATAATTCATAAGTAAGTATTTTCCACAATCAGTGACAAGTGAATGTTAGCTGACAAACAATAACAAGAGATTGTTAGCTATCATACACAAGTGAATGTTAATTGTCAATCAGTAACAATTGAGTATAAACTGTCAGTCAGAAAGTGTTAGCTGTCAGTACAGTAACAAGTGAATGTTAGCTGTCAGTCAGTAACAAGTGAGTGTTAGCTGTCAGTCAGTAACAAGTGAGTGTTAGCTGTCAGTCAGTAACAAGTGAGTGTTAGCTGTCAGTCAGTAACAAGTGAGTGTTAGCTGTCAGTCAGTAACAAGTGAATGTTAGCTGTCAGTCAGTAACAAGTGAGTGTTAGCTGTCAGTCAGTAACAAGTGAGTGTTAGCTGTCAGTCAGTAACAAGCGAGTGTTAGCTGTCAGTCAGTAACAAGTGAATGTTAGCTGTCAGTAAGTAACAAGTGAGTGTTAGCTGTCAGTACAGTAACAAGTGAATGTTAGCTGTCAGTCAGTAGCAAGTGAGTGTTAGCTGTCAGTCAGTAACAAGTGAGTGTTAGCTGTCAGTCAGTAACAAGTGAATGTTAGCTGTCAGTCAGTAGCAAGTGAATGTTAGCTGTCAGTACAGTAACAAGTGAGTGTTAGCTGTCAGTACAGTAACAAGTGAATGTTAACTGTCAGTCAGTAACAAGTGAGTGTTAGCTGTCAGTCAGTAACAAGTGAGTGTTAGCTGTCAGTCAGTAACAAGTGAATGTTAGCTGTCAGTAAGTAACAAGTGAGTGTTAGCTGTCAGTCAGTAGCAAGTGAGTGTTAGCTGTCAGTACAGTAACAAGTGAATGTTAGCTGTCAGTCAGTAACAAGTGAATGTTAGCTGTCAGTCAGTAACAAGTGAGTGTTAGCTGTCAGTCAGTAACAAGTGAATGTTAGCTGTCAGTAAGTAACAAGTGAATGTTAGCTGTCAGTCAGTAACAAGTGAATGTTAGCTGTCAGTCAGTAACAAGTGAGTGTTAGCTGTCAGTACAGTAACAAGTGAATGTTAGCTGTCAGTCAGTAACAAGTGAGTGTTAGCTGTCAGTCAGTAACAAGTGAGTGTTAGCTGTCAGTACAGTAACAAGTGAATGTTAGCTGTCAGTCAGTAACAAGTGAGTGTTAGCTGTCAGTCAGTAACAAGTGAATGTTAGCTGTCAGTCAGTAACAAGTGAGTGTTAGCTGTCAGTCAGTAACAAGTAAATGTTAGCTGTCAGTCAGTAACAAGTGAGTGTTAGCTGTCAGTCAGTAGCAAGTGAGTGTTAGCTGTCAGTCAGTAACAACTGAATGTTAGCTGTCAGTCAGTAACAAGTGAATGTTAGCTGTCAGTCAGTAACAAGTGAGTGTTAGCTGTCAGTCAGTAACAAGTGAATGTTAGCTGTCAGTACAGTAACAAGTGAATGTTAGCTGTCAGTCAGTAGCAAGTGAATGTTAGCTGTCAGTCAGTAACAAGTGAATGTTAGCTGTCAGTCAGTAGCAAGTGAATGTTAGCTGTCAGTCAGTAGCAAGTAAATGTTAGCTGTCAGTCAGTAGCAAGTGAGTGTTAGCTGTCAGTACAGTAACAAGTGAATGTTAGCTGTCAGTCAGTAACAAGTGAGTGTTAGCTGTCAGTCAGTAACAAGTGAGTGTTAGCTGTCAGTCAGTAACAAGTGAATGATAGCTGTCAGTCAGTAACAAGTAAATGTTAGCTGTCAGTCAGTAACAAGTGAGTGTTAGCTGTCAGTCAGTAACAAGTGAATGTTAGCTGTCAGTCAGTAACAAGTGAGTGTTAGCTGTCAGTCAGTAACAAGTGAATGATAGCTGTCAGTCAGTAACAAGTAAATGTTAACTGTCAGTCAGAAAGTGTTTTAGCTGTCAGTCAGTGTTAGCTGTCAGTCAGAAAGTGTTTTAGCTCTCAGTCAGTGTTAGCTGTCAGTCAGAAAGTGTTTTAGCTCTCAGTCAGTATCAAGCAAGTGCTAGCTGACAGTCAGTAACAAGTGAGTGTTAGCTGACAGTCAGTAACAAGTGAGTGTCATCTGTCAGTGGTTTACCTGTGGCTGATACCAATGTTTTCAGGTGGCAGCAGTGGATCCATCATGCACTGTGCCATCCAAGCAGTCAAAGACTTTGGATTGAAGAAAGGTCAGCGCTGTGTGGTCATCCTGCCAGATTCTATTAGAAATTACATGTAAGTTGATCTAACTGGACACGATATTGAGTCCGTGTTTAACATGTCTGTCTGGACTTTAGTCATTGATTAACATTTCTGTAGCTTCTGCATTGCTCTACATGCTGTATCTTTAGTATACCCAAGTTTAAAGCACATGGTCTCGTTTTGTATCTTTTCCAGTCTCCCTGAGTCTGACTTAGAGTAAGGATGGCCAGAGCTTATTCGATCACCGAAAGGACAAGACCTTGGTATAAAAGACAGAGATGTTGCTGTTCGCATTTTGCTGTCCCCCATGACTCTCATAGCTGCCAAACCCATCCTAGCCTTTGCTACCAAATGGTCTATGTGCCCAGTAATAACCGGATTGCGATAAAAAAGAATTCCCAAATATTTTATTGCAGGAGCTCATTCCACCTTCTCCTAGCATAAATTTAGAGCTGGTGTTGGAGTACTGACAATACATTTGTTTAACGAGAACCATGTCACAGCTGCCTTCGTTGGGTTGACCTGTGTCTCTGCCTCACCACACCAACTGGTTATGAGGTCGAGTTCAGACTGAAGTTCCTCTGCAACCTCATTTCGGTCCTTGCCCTCACGGTACACCAAAACATCATCAGCATATGATAATGTCATCCCTGGTCCTGTGATCTATTCACCTGTGTAGACATTGAATAATACTGGAGATAGGGATGAACCTTGTGGCAAGCCAGGATGTTTTGTTGTTGGTTCAGAGGCCCAGCTGCCACACTTAAATATTACTGTTCATTGTAGAAGGGCTGCAGAAATCATTTGGGGAGAAAAGGACTGATATGTAGTTCTCATAGCTGAAACAGAATTCCGGTCAAATATGGCAACACGATTTGTATATTTCTTCTCACATGGATTATTTTTGTCTAAGCTATGGAAATTCCTTCACTTGGATATAGATAACTGTGCCAGAATGTAGGCCAAGAATACAACTTCCTCAAAATTTTTGCCGTTGCTACTGAGTTTCATGCATCCGAGCTAAAACCTTCTTGAGTTGTTTTCTTTTGCATGTAGTTTTTTTATTATTTTTTATTTCACAATGGCTGATCAGCAAGTGTGTAGCGAACTATTTAGGTTGAGAAACAGAATTACACAGTGGGGGAATTACACTGTGAGCCCTTTGCAACACATAATGACACATCAGGACAGTGATGATGAGGATTGGTGAGTCAAGTGTGTGTCACCGATGTGTTGGTTAGAGAAATGAGATGTTTACTGGTCAATATTTGTGGGCATGTTGTGAGAAGGAATAAACTTGAGAACTTGATAACAACTGGCAAGATTATTAAGTAAAAAAAGAATAAAAAGGAATTTAAAAAAAAAATATCTGGATCGTGTGGCCACAGACCCCTGATTCTGGGGATCATGTGGGAATGGCAAATCATGACAACCTGCTATCTGTGGGGCATATGGTGATGTTTCAATGATGTGTCACTGGTGTGTCGATGATGTGTTACTGGTGTATGATGATGTGTCACTGATGTGTTGCTGGTGTGTTGATGGTGTGTCAGTCATGTTTTACTGAGGTGTCATGTACATCTTGTGACTACTTCAGCCAAAATTTATTTGTGACACAGATTTGATTATTTCATTTCCAGGTCAAAGTTCTTGAGCAACGATTGGATGAGCCAGAGAGATTTTCTAGAGTTTGAGAAAAATATTGAGCCATCAAAAGAATGGTCAGTGATTCTTCTTAGATTATCCTCATTTCTGGGGAGTTGTTTGTTGTTGTCAGTTTTATTTTGTGTGTGCTGTAGATTTATTTGGGAGTGTTTTATTGTTTGTTTATTGTCAGCTTTTGTTTGTGGATGCAAAAAAAAGGGGGGGGGGGAGGGGGTGCATGTGTGCATGTCTCTCTCTCCCCCCCTCTCCCTTCTCTTCATGCATGTCCACTAGTATCCCAGCAAACCTTGGGAGGTAGCCTGAGGTGGTCTATGCCTTCATGGTTTTTTCCTTATTTTTTTATTTTTTTTTTATAGGTTCTTTTTGTTAGTTTATAAAGTAGTCTAACAGTGTTTCTGAAATAATGCATGAAAAACTTTATTTCCAAAGGGTCGCAAATTGGGCACACAGAAAATTAGCCCTTAAACCTGACAATATTGGCCAATACTGGTGTAATTTTCCCAGTGTTGAAGTATATGATCATGTAATTTCTCTGTATGGTAGAGTGTATAATTAGGTATCCCAGTGTCGAACAGAAGCATTTACATGTTGATTTCATTGCAGATTAATTTTTTTCAAAAGTTACTTCTTGATATAACGGCTTATTGCGTTGAAAAACTGATACATTTTCTAATTATTTCAAGAATGCACCAAAACTTATAAGGGTCACTGCATTAAATAGTGGTTTCCTTTATTGTTGTGTGAAGTTGGCAACTATTCAAGTTTGGACTTGTATTTTAGTTCTCCAAAGAAAAAATGTCCATCATCCTATGGAGGATCGTATCTCAGGTCTACCACAGGAGAGTCCGACTTTCTAACCATTTGGCCAGGTGATTCTGCTGGTGAAAGTTTTGTTTTGATATGTATAATCATGTAATTTCCACAGGTGGTGGAGACTGAGCGTGAGTGCCTTGAACTTGTTAGCCCCTTTGACTGTGATGCCAACTGTTACAATTCAAGATACACTGGAACTTCTCAACAAGGAGGGATTTGACCAGGTTCCAGTTGTGGATGAAACCGGGTAATTTGGCCAGGTTTTTAATCAAGAGTATTTCTCCTGATGTAGTTTATCAATTATTTTTTTTTTTTTTAACAGACAATAAGATGCTACGTTGTCAAAGCAAGAAGATGAAGATGGCTTGGACATGTTTGCAAAATGTTTCATGACACTTTGGCAAGGACAGCTGTCTGATGTAGATCTGAGTAGCCAAAGGAAAGCTGGAGTACAATAGAAGGGGAAATGATGGAATGTTAAATGACATGGATACCACAGGCAGATAAGCAGCAGACCAGCAGCAGTAGACATCACTTGTGAATGCCTAACATGTCAACAGCAACCCACCTAAATTTTAAACTGATATTTTGGTAAAATAACATCTGAAATATTTATTTTCATTCGCAGGCAGATGTTATTTAACCCATTATATCCAGAAAATGTTCACTTTGTAGTAAACATGCTTTTGGCAGAATGAACAAAAATAATAATGCTATGAGATAGAGAAGATAAAGTGACATCTGAAGCAGAATGGGTGAGTATTGCAACTGGAATGGCCTAAGGAGTTGAAGAAAATGTGTAATCTAAGTGGAACTGCGCTATTCCTGACAGATGCAAGAGTGGTATTTCAGGCACTCAAATCTGGAAAATTACCTGGTATACAGAAACTACTCTCCAAACTAGGCAGCCGATGAAAGGTAACTATGCAATGAATACCATCCCACTGTGGAGTTCCCGAAATAAAAGAGCTGATAAACTAGCTAAGGAAGGTGCAGATAAAAAACAGATTGACTTACCAGTCTCTTATCAACAGAAGAAGAGAATAATCAAATCAGTTAGAAAGCCACCAAAACTGGCACAAGACGGCTACCATATAATGGACAGACCAGAGCAAGTCATTATTCTATGCCTTAGAACAGGACACAATTGATATTTCAGCCACATGTACACAGAATTTAAGATTGGCGTATCAGCCATGTTACACATCATGTCCTCTAAGACTGTTCCAAATACAACATAACATGACAAAACTTTTGGCCAAGGGAAACACCATTACAAGCAAAACTTAACAGTTGCTGTTTGAATTACAACAGAAAATGAAGTTCATCCTAGAGACAACATTGCCGATATAGATAATCTATTTCAAGAGATAAAAAAAAAAGTAGAACCCAAAAAATGCATGGTCAGTGCCTGGGTAGGGAATGAGTTAAATTGTAGACCCTAATCAAACAAAAACTTCATTCATCAGTAATATTTCACCACCAGTTGAATTCAGTGTTGCCAGATGGCAAAACATTTTTCCGTGGATAAAAAATTTGGAGGTTTTCATCAGCACCTGGGTGGTTTATTGGTCTGCCAGTTGGTGACTGGTCGTCGGTCAAAACATGTTTGGGTCATCGCAACAATACTGCAAAAAAACTTTTCAGGGCTACTTGGTGATGAGCAGTCTTTAGCCAATAATATGGCACAAACAATATAACCAACAGCTCCACCTCTGCATATGCTGGTTGAACATGGGTGACTTTTAATGTGTGTTTTTCATCAACAAACTTGAAAGTCATTTCTCAGGGAACAATGTACAACTTATGACTCCTACAGTAGGGCATATGTACGTGGGTGTTTTCTTCTTCTTCTTCTTAGCATTCATTAGCTGTAAACTTTAATAGACAGGTCTGGTTATTGATCTACTTCTGTCTTGTTCTAAAACTTGGGTTTTGTGGGCACATTTGTTTTACAGATCTGTCTGCTTGTATGAAGACAATTGGTTGCTTACCTTTCAAACATCTGCACTCTTGTTTTGAAAAAAAAAACACCTCTAATTAGCTATCAACATGCTTCCATAATGGTTTGGACAAGAGAGTAGTGGAGGATAGCAATTCCAAAAGAAGAGGTAGGTATTGACCAAACTGATGGTAGACACAGGATATCATGAAAGTTCACAAAGCGGGAAGGATGACAAGAGCCACTTTAGCCAATGGTGAAATGTGGTAGGCTAGTTCGGTTCTGCATGTGGTGAGGCATGACTTGACTGCAAAGACTGTAGATAGTCAAAGAAAAGCTGGGCAAAGAAGGACATGGAATGACAACCTCAAGAATTTGACAGGACTATTGGCACACCTCCACAATCCTAATGGGTCAGAGGTTATGTTGTTTAAAGATGGCAGGGAACCAAATGACTTTCTGGTCTTTTTCTATGATGAGAGTCACTTCTGCAAAGGACCTACAACATATTCCTGATCCGTGAACACTGATTCTGTTTAGGCAAACCACGTATATTGTGTTTGGCATCCAGGTTTTACTGGATAACCACACATATTGCATTTAGTATCCATGTTTTTCAAATAATAAAACTGTGCATACATTTGTTCTCTATAGTCGCATCTTGGGAATGGTGACAGTTGGAAACATGATGTCAAAAATTGTGAAAAACAAAGTCAAACTCAACGATCCAGTCTGTAATGTCATGTATAAACAGTTCAAGCAGGTAAGATACAAATTTGTCATTGTCAGCCACAAACATTAGTGCATTCTTTGCTGACTATCTCTATAAAATTATAAGATACAAATTTGAAGGCTAGTTCGATGACAGTTTTCCCACTTATGCACTCTTACACACTAGCACACTTCTGATTGGTTGATTTCAGCCTAGCTCACTTCTGATTGGTCCACCTTGAGCCACCTTACCTTGCCAGAAAATTACGGGAGTGTTCCGTAATGCCGTTGATATTGTGTGTTGTATGATTCAGCACGCCAGTGCTTTCAACAACCCACCTAGAGAGTGCTGCAACCTATGTCACAGGCATTCTCTTTCTTAGAAGAAAAACGTAAATGCAAGACAAGCCAGAAAGCAAACAACAGAACGGCACACCCGTAACCCCCAGGAAAGTAGACCAGTCTAACAAAGTTATAAATGGAACGTGACCTACTTTGTTTGGGGAGACTAACGTCGAACTAAATGGTTTAAATAAAGAAAACGAGGAGTAGGAGTTTACTGCCTGGCATATTTTGCTATATCTCGTCAGGTGTATACTACAGTAACAATTGATTCCTGACAAAATACAGAACAGTATGTCAGGTAATACATAATGCAGTCTATTGTTTGTGTCTTCTTTGTTCAAATTCACAATGGGGAAACATTGGTTTGATAATCTGAATATACAGAGTTCATCATCATCTTGACAATTCTTGTTCACTCTGTTTGATCTTTCTTCAACTTGTATATTTACCTTTAAAAGGGCATTTTGTTTTGTGGTGAAAATCTAGCCCACCATATTTGTACCTTCTGGCTGAATGTATCCATTTTCATCAGGTTGCGATATTCATAGTACCTTGCCAAAGGGTTAACAACTCATGGTTTCTGGATACTTGAAAAAAATGTCTTTTTTTTTTGGAACCCCAAAACTCACATGAGAAACTCACTTTTAGTAAAGTAGGTAAAGGACCTTTTTGCACACCTGTAGGCATGTGAGGCATATAGGGCTAGACCTATATTTGATAGACCAAAAAGCACTTGTGGGTGAGGTGGTCAGCATTTCACCGTTCGCCCTTACTTATCAGGACACCTGGTACCCATTTATGGCTGGGTTGACCTGGGAGTCATGGTCATTTTTTGAAGAAACTCACTCTTATGATAACGAAATTGTCTGGCCATCTGACAAGCTGTGGTACAACTGCCATCTTGAGCTGCCCACCCTGAGGTTTCAGGTAATCACAGAACCAACATGGCAGCAAAATGTCACCTGTTGCCCCGTTCCTGTGCCACCAAAAACTACACATAAAGCCAGTCACTGCCTGTTGTGAAAGAATTGACATAGACTGCAGTCTCAGCAAAGTCATAGCATACTCACGCATTAAAGGCATAAGGCAGCCATCAGAAGTGCCAACACAAACAGTCCAGCATTAGAAATGCAGTTCACAATCAATGGGAATCCATAGGTTTCTTTTCTGTATAAGCTAGTTAATAAATGGCTAAGACCAACAGTATTTTAACTGTAACAGACTCTGAAAGCATGCTGAGAAAGGTAAAGACAGGGATGCTTCAAGCAGAGTGGCAAGCTTCATGGGTAGTGAGCATACTTTGGGTTTTAGTGGGTAATGAGTAGGCAGACAGATTGACTGGATCTGCACCACTGGGTGGTGAATTGATACATGACAAGGCAGATGTGGTCAAGACCCTTTGGGAACAAGCAACGGAATCAGTACAGAAACAAGGTTATTATAGCCTGGAGAAAATGAGGCACCTGGGTGTAACTAGAGGGTCTGGCCAGCTCACTACACTCAGAGGAAAGTCAAGACAGACATATAACCAGATTGTGACCTGTATCATCAGTACTGGAACTCTGCCTTGGCTGCTGAAGATGAGGATAGAGCCCACATGGAAACGCTGTGCTGTGATGTCAATTCTTGACTCAACTCAACTACCCAACAGTATTTAGTGCAGCAATATTGATCTCTTGTTTGGGACCAGTGGTTTAATGGCTTGACACTTTGCCAACCAGCCCAACTCAGTCTCAAATGGGTACCAGGTAAATTTCTGGGAAGTAAAGGTGGCTGGCGTGATATTGACCACATCCCTCATCAAGTGCTGATGGGTCTATACAAACATGAGTCTAGTATCTTATGCCTGATGTGCCACTGGCGTAAAAATTAATCCCCCGACCCCCTTTAAAAAAAATTATGGGACATTTTATTCTTGTGATGCATGGCCTAATCTCTCTTCCCCCATAGTTCTCCAGGTCTTTCTGTCAGTGATGATTATACTCATCACTGATGCCTATTATACAGTGGCTTGTTTGAACATTGACATCTCATGAGTAATAGAGCAGAACTGTGTGTCAATTGTTGGTGACATGTGATTCCTTCTGTGCAGATTCGCATGGATACCTCCCTGGGGCAGCTGTCACAGATGTTGGATACAGATCATTTCGTGTTGGTTGTTCACAACCAGAGGCAGTGTGAGTTTTTGAATCTGTTCTTATGATTTAGTTGTAGCAGTTTACAGGTTTTAAAATGTCTCTTCCCCACCCTCCCCTCCCATTCTATGTATGAGCCGTTGCCTGCAGCTTTACCTCCATTTGCCCCAGCATCTTCTCAGTGGACTAGTCATATTATGGATTGATTGCATAATGGATCAGTGATGATTTTCTTCCCATTCATAAGGACAATTATTAGACATGCAAGGCTAATTTCCCATAGTGACATCATGGATTGATGGGATCACCTTACCAAGTATTTTAACCCTTTCACCCTGGAAATGCTAAAAAACATGGGTCATTAATCAGTGGGTAGTTATGTAAAAATCAGTTTAAAAACAAAATATATACAAATCACTAATACATTTTAAAGACTTTTTTATCTGCATTTTAAATTTTTTCCCTTCAAAATGTATATATATATAAGGAGTAATTTAAAAAAAAAAAAAACTAACACTCACAAACAGGATGAAGTATTAAATGGGATACACTCCGTATGCCTAAAAAACAAAAAAAAAAAGATACAATATATACCCAGAAACTCATGCAGTGACCCAGTGATCTCTATCACTGAGGCTTTCAGGAAAATTTGACATCAGTGTGGTTTTGACAGTTTTTTTGGGTCTAGGACCCCTGCCCCCTCCCACCCCCTTTTCCCCCCAGTCCTATTTTTAGTTACTATAGTCATATTAGTCAAATCCTATCTTTTGTCCTCCCTTTCTTTTCAAATTTTTTTTCCAACTTTAAATTTTTTTTAAAATTTAAATATATAGACCAGGTCACTGCAGACATAATGACAGTCAGCATTTATGGGACTTGACAGTGTCACAATTGAAAGTGACTAGATTTAATTTTCTCAGGGTGGTAGGGTTAACAACAGATCAGTTTGGTTTAGGTTTAGATAGGTTTATTCAATGGATCAACATCATGGCAGAAGAGTTGTAACCCAAAAGTGCTCAGTTCCACTTCTAACTCAAGCCTGAGTCCAACGAAATCTCAGCGCAGTGCATGAACTCCATAACACTGGCGAGGATTCCGAAATATTTTAGGTAGATTTTTAGCTCCAAATTTTTGCCCCGGGCAGTGCTACTTTTTTCGATTTCCAACTGCCGAAAGAGTTTTTATGTGCGCAACAATACATACAGGCATCTGATCTTACTACCAAGAGACCACAGGAAATTACTAGTTCCCACGTTTAAAAAAAAACATCCTTTATCGGGGCCTAAACCTGGGACCTGCAGCAATCAAGGCGGACGCCATGCCTCAAGATCACTCAGCCCCCTAGGGAATCAGTGACAAGCACTAGTTCCCAGAAAGACCATCAGGACATCAGCAGAAGATTAAACTATGGCTACCCCCCTGATGTATCCAATGCCAACTTGGGAACAATGAATGAGTCCAGCTCAAAACATTTACCAATTGACATAACATGCTAAAAAGTAAAGACAGCCGGCATAATGCTGACCATATTACCCACCGAGTGCTGATGGTCTGTAAAAATATGGGTGCTCTTCCCATATGCTCGATACGCCTAAAGGCGTGGAAAGGGATCTTTACTTTTACTTTTATAATATGCCAAAGAATTACAAATTAGTTAGAGATGTGTTACGACTAAAATTCTATTACAATAAAGCTGCCTGGAAAGCTTTCCAAACAGAAAGAAAACGTGTACTTTATCATGTAGCAAATGATGATGTAGATTAACTTGCTAAAAATATTACAGAGACAATTATGAAAACAGCTGGCAAGCATATTCGGGCATCCATTATGCCATATCACATTTATCCAGATTGCCAATCCATGGAAACATAGCATGTCAGAAATATGGAACAAGCTTATGTCACTGAAAGGAAGACAAACAAATAAAAGATTAACCAAGCTCTTCCACTTCCACACAGATCAAATACAGACCAGCAGAAGGCAGGTTTCATGGCTAAGTGTTTTTTAAAGAACTGGTGATCATTTCTCTTATAGTAATTTGTCTTCGTCAACTCGTTAAATATTTACGTTTAGTTTTGTTTAATTATTCATTTCCCTTCTGATATTGAGGTGCTAGTTTTGTTTAGTTATCCGTTTCTCTTTCGGTTAGCATCCTTTGGATATTTTCTCCATGTTATGTCAGTGTGTTGGGAAATGAGCAGGAGGATAGACTGGCTGGCTCTGCGCCAATTGGTTGTGAATTAATGTATGACAAGTTAGATATTGTGAGGGCCCTTTGAGAACGGGTGAACAGTGCAGAGGCGCAGATGGATCATTACGGTCCGAGGAGAATGGCACTGCAAGGAGTTACCAAGGGATCTGGTCGACGCTCAACACTCAGGAGAAGGATGAGACGGATATACGATCAGACGGTTACTGGCACCATAGGAATTGGAACTCTTCCCTTGGTGGTGAAGATGGGAACTGAGCACTTATGGGAGTGTCCTGAGTGCTGTGATGTTGAATTTTAATTCAACATGCAACATTCTTTCGGTAGTGTAGGTGCTAGATGCATGCCTACCAGCCTCCAAGGTTTCAGCTTTGAATCCACATGAAAACTGACCTAGGCTCCCATGCTGTCCCAGACTAAAATCATTACCAGGAAATATCCCTGGAAGTAAATGCAGCCTGTTACCTACACTGCCCACAAAGGCGAATTAGTGTAAAAGGATGGGTCTATCATGCCTTCACATCCTAACTGGTCCTTTACTCGAATGTCTCTTTTAGCTGCACTAATCATTTCTTTGTTTCTTTCATTCAAATGTAGATGGCATGGATGGAAAGGTGGAGAACAAACAGATGATTTTTGGCATCGCAACACGGATTGACCTCCTTAACTTCATCACCTCAAATGATACAGCAGGCTGTTGATTCCACTAGACCACTGCTTTTTTTTATTTCCCCCCTATATCTATTTTCATATGTTATTTTCATTGGACCCTGCTAGCATGTCTTACAGTGTCAGTTTGTACTTTTCTGTGTGACTGACATTATCACCATCATGTACTAAATACAATATAAAATGTGACTAGAAAGCTCAAAGAAGAGAAATGGAAAAGATTCGCACAAATACGATCAAATGTTTTTACCAAAGTCTATCGACGGAGTACTAAATACAACACAAACTGTGACTAGAAAATTCAGTTAAGAAGACAACGCATAAGGGTCAACATGAAATCAAGAAATATCTAGTAAGAACAGATAAGGATATGAAGTGCTATATTATAAACTGATAAAAATAAAAAGATGTATAAAAATTTAAAAAATAAAAACACAGGGACAAATATAATAATTTCTTTGACTATTTATTTTATATATCATAGCCATCTCTATAACACAAACTTGCCACCAACTCAGTTATGTTGGATTTGAGAGAGAGGGAGACAGGGAGAGAGAGAAAGACAGAGAGGGAAGGAGAGGGAGAGTGAGTGAGGGAGGAAGGGCAGGAGAGAGAGAGGGCGAGGGGAGAAAGAAGGAGAAAGAGCAAAATATTTCTCGGATGAGAAGAAGCACTCTTGGCATATTCTGCTTCGTCATCTTAGCTTTCGGGCGCTGTAAACCAGTGAAAGTTCTGGTTGTTCGTCAACTCCTGGAATTTGGTCTTGATCCAGAACTGGAGTTTTGCATGCAGATTCATTTTACAGATTTGGCTAATCTATATGCAGTCTTGTTTCCTTGCCTCTCAGACAGAAACACTCCAACTTTGGAAAAAAAAAACTTTTAAAGCAAGGGGAGGGGGAGGGGAGGGGAGGGGTAGTGGATCTGTTGTTTGTTCTTCTAAATCTCTCAGCAGAACCCATACGGGGATGGGATGGCATATTGACGAGAGAATTTTAAAATGTCGAAATCCAAAACAATGATATATTAAAAGCTTGCTTCCAATATGGGTTCTGGTACCCCATCTGCAGGGAAAAAGAATGGACCCACTACCGTCCTAACAAGCATGTCGTAAGAGTCAACTAATTATGGGATCCCCTTGAAGTCGAAGGGTGTCTGTCTGACAGTCTGCATACAAATCTGTAAAACGGATGTGCACACAAAAAGTATTAAAAAAGGTCCTTTTTCCATACCTTTAGGGCATATAGGGCTGGACCTATATTTTTATAAACCAATCGGCACAAGATGGGTGATGTGGTCAGCATCACGCCGGCTGCCTTTACTTCCCGGGACTGCACCTGGTACCCACTCAAGGCTGGTTCGACCTTGAAGTCAAGATCATTTTTGAAAAAAGTCCGGCTCCGCTAGAGAGCAAACCCACAACCTTCCGATTTGCACGCAAGCGCCTAGCCACACCACCACGGCAACTCTTGTGCACACACAACAAGACTTAATAAAAGTCCAGTTGTGGACAAACAATCGTAACTTTCCTCTGGAGTTTACAGCCGGTAAACACAAATAAATAAGAATTACCACAAATAAAAAATGGGATATCAAAAGTCTCAGAACCACGCAAAATATTAAATCATGGTCACAGACCTGAACATTTGTTATATATTAGTTAGTTAGTCTTTCCTCTTGTGTCGAGTGCGGCACATAGGGCAGAGGTCGTGACTCTCCATGCACGGCGGTCCGTTGCAATCCGTTGTAGGTCTTGGATGTTTGAGTGGCCCATGAGCGAGCCTTCCCTGATGATAGTTCTACGTAGGGTTTCCCTTGGTCTTCCACGAGATCTTTTCCCCTGTGGTGTCCAAATGAGGGCTTGGTAAGGAAGTCTTGATTTATCCATTCTAAGGACGTGGCCGACATAGTTCCAGCGGCGTTTTCGTATAAAATTAGACACATACTCTTGCCTGGATTCTTGCCTTATTTGTGTATTGGTTCGGAAATCTGACCATTTGAAATTTAGTATTCTTCTAAGGCATTTATTTTCAAAACTGTCTAATTTTGTGTCTAGAGTGTTCGTTGATTTCCAGCTCTCGCATCCATAGGTTAGTACTGGAATCACACAAGAATTGAAGATCTTGAGTTTTGTGTGTTTGCTAAGTGTCTTTGATTTCCAGATGTTAGACAGTTTATTGAAGGCACTAGATGCCAGTTGTTATATATACATTATGATTATTATTTCATATAATAACATTCTTATATATTAAAACAAGATGATTAATTACATTAACTGCAATTACTAATTATGTTTTCAAACCTGTTCTGGGTAAAGATTTGATACTACAGCATTCATAACAAGCCTATTATTAGCTCCATCTTCTTTCACAGCAGCCAGGGAAGAGGATATATTGATGGTACCCATTCAAACATGTTCTCACATATTGTAACTAACTAACTAACTAACTACCCTTTTCCACACACACACACACACCCACACCATACATACACACCACACACACATCCACACTATGCACACCCACACCACACACATCCACACCACACACACATATTTGTGATTATTATGATTATATTTTGAACCACTTTCTCACAAAAGTGAACACATGTATTATCATAGTTGAGACTGTTATTACTCCTGTTACCATTAATGACGAATGATTATGTTATAAAATTACTGACTGTTTCTTTCTTTCGCCTGGGGCTGCTTCTTAAGGTTTGACCATCCCTGCAATTCAAAGAATCACATCCTGGATGGTAGTCTGACAGGGCAGATTTCAGAGAAGATAAAATTAGGGGCATCCAAATGGCCGCATTATAACAACAGAGATGAGAAGTCTTAGCACAGCTGATGGAGTAGCACAAAGAGATACAATTAAAAATGAAGACTAGGGCTGAAACAAGTCACACAGTTTATTAGAGAGTGACGGTTGAGATGATGTGGCCATCTGCTACAGAAAGCCTTGCTGAAGATGTACAATAAGCTAGCAAGGGAATACCATGCAAAAGAAGGATGGCATCAAGATGAGCTTCAAAGAAATGAAAACTTATGCAACCTTTCTGAATGACACCTCCCCCCCCCCCCCCCCAACACATTTTTTCTTTCTTTGTGTGTCATCTCACTGATCCAGGTTGTAGCCAGTCATGGTTTTCTGTAACTTCTCTGAGGGGTGATGGATTTGATCACCTTTTTGCAGGTTTCTGCCCTACCATATGTTTCTTGTGTCGTTAGTGACCTTGCGGAGACAGCATTTCACAAATAGTTACTTTTTGTTCTGGTGCCCTATTCTTTGTCACTGAACATAAAGTAGGGATAAAGATAATATTGATCATTTGCTGTTAACCTAGAAGGGAGATATCTGGGTGTCTAGGCAGTGGGGCTATCTGGTAGGAAACAGAATGTGCCTTCTGTACTCTGGCGTCTATATCACTAACAAGTCTGCCATTCCCTGTAAAAATGCTTTCTAAATATTTGAATTCTTGTACTTGTCCACCCCTCAACACTTAGATGAGTAAACTGGAGAAAGAGAAATTCTCATGCTAAAAAAGACAATAAATTATAAAGTGGTTATGGTGGATCATTTTTGTTTTGCGTCAATTTATTTGCCAGTGACATTTTTTGTGAAACGTTTACTGATGTTACTACATGTTTCTTTTTGTCACAGTGCCAAAACTTTATTACCATCCTGTTGTGTCATCTCTGCACCAAACTGAGCTTGTCAATGAGCAGTCAATTAATTTGTTTACCAGCTTGCTACAATTTAAAGCATTATCGATGAAAGGTTAGTTGCGTATCCTTTACAGGACGTTAAGAACCAACCCCAACAGCCCCTGGCTGTTGTATGGTTTTTCTAGGCAAATTTGCGTCCAGTAGTTTTCCATTTCTTTCTGGACAGTCGGCTTTCTTGATATCACTGTTGAAACCAATGCAAGGTGCATGGCCCGCAGCTGGGATCAAACCTGGCATTTACGAAGCATTAGCATCGACTTAGCCACAGAGCTGACTATCGATGAAAACTTGAAAAAATTATCTAGGCTACTACTCTACAATGTGGGATGTCTGTACTGATTCAATCACTAATCAACTTCATTCATATCACAAGCTAAAGGTTTCATTCACTATAAACATAAATGAGATACTTTAACTTTTATAAATGACAACCAGATTTCTGTTGTGAACTGCACTAAAAATGGTGTATGTTTGGAATGGCATGTACTTATGCAGATACGTAATAACACTGAACATTGTTTACCATATTGCAAGAAATATGAACTCCAAAGTACTCCCCTTAATGAATACGTGACCCACTGCAAAAAACCTTTGACAATTAAAAACCACTCAGGGAGCAGACTGCTCTAAAGAACTACAAGGAAGGATTTAACAGGGCATCACAGGAACAGGGGTTAGCAGAGATGTTAATATTTATTCTCAGACAGAATAATAGTATCCTAGATCATTTTAAATATCCACACAGATAAACTACACAATTACCATAATTATTTGAAAGTGTACTTAAAAATATACTGAACTGACAATTTATACTTCTACAACAACTGTTTGCAAACAGCGGGGAATGGAGAGTGAGAAGTAACAACGAAATTCATAATCTGTTTAAATCGCCATTGATAACTGGCATCATGAGAGATAACAGACTGAAATGGTTGGGGCATATTGAGAGAATGTCAGATAACAGAGAAGTGAAAACTGTGTACACAAGGGAGATGAATGGTCGTAGACTACGAGACAGACCAAGAAGAAGATGGAGAGATAATGTCCAGACAGACATGCAAACACTTGATATCACCAACTGGAAAGAGAAGGCCAACCAGAGAGATGAGTGGAGGCGGGTGATATCTGCAGCAATGAACTTCAAGGGCTCGGAATGCTGAAGAAGAAGAAGAAGCAACTGATACACAAGCTATGCATTATTAAAAAACCAAATATAACTGATAGACATGAACATCAATTATTGAAACAGAAAAACAACTCTTTCTATCATAATTATAATCTGGATAGGTTGAACAGGATATTC